AACACCAAAACGACCACAGGAACACATACAACCAGAGGCAGGAAGTGCTCTGAGCGTGTGTCAGAGACCGAGGCTGAGGAAAAGGAGAAGGGATGTGACGAGCCACCAATCAGAAGAAAGATGGCATTAATGGAGAAAGAGCTATAAGACCCCGCTGTTAGAAACAGACTAGGTCCATTTTGAAATGTATTAAGTTTTATTAACTGATTGTGAATTTTGAGTTTGTCATGCAGTCACTTGCTGAACATAACTGCATTTTCTTGGGATTTTTATGCTTTTCAGCACAAAATGTTGTTTTTGAGGAATCACACAGTTTAATCTCTGCACCTTTAAACTCACGTCTTACCTTCGCTGCCTTGAGACAGAGTGGTCGAAGGTGTGGAGCTGGGTGAGCTGGTAGTTGGAGCTGTGAACAACAGTGAAACGTCGTCTGTTAAACGGAGGTGAACTTTTCATTTTTCAAATATCCCAAAACAAGTCAATTTCTGGTAAATGTTAATAATAATCTAATAAAACTCACCAGCTTTAACAATGAGTTTAACCTCCTGTTCTGAATTCCCAAAGAACCTGCTCATACCACACTTGTAACGCCCAGCGTCAGACATGGTCAGTGGCTTGATGGTCACAAACAGGACAGGAGAATGCACTGTACCTTCATATTCAATGCTATATTTGCCTTTTTGTGCTTTTTCCTCAGATGTTTCAATAAGAACATTGTCTGGATTGCAATTTTCCTTACAGAAGAACTTCCTGTTTCCAGAGAAAGAAAAGTGGCATCGCACTGTGATGCCTTGTCCTTCAGTTCCTGTTACTGATATAACCTGTGCACTGATGAGCCCACACAACTCTGCTGGGAAGAGAAGAAGCATAGTCAAAACACGTAACCTAGTAGTGAAACGTGTGACGATAGCAGAAGCAACAGTGAGCAACGTTCAGCCTTTCACAGTTACTGCTGTCGGATTAGTTAATTTTATTAGTCCTAAAATACATAAAGCTTGATAAGATCTCTGAGACAACTTTAGATTGTTTGTAGTTTGTCTTTAGTTCAGTGCAGAGTGTGGCTGTGTGGTGACAGAGCTGTAAAACAAGGTCACAAGTGTCATTTCCTTATTCTATAAACAGACACCTGCAAACAGCAGACGCACGTCTTGTACCGGCCAGCTCGCTGTAACAAACTTATGTAGCAAGCGAACAAAAGAATCTTTCATTATGTGCTTCTTTTCAATTTTCTGAAGGTGCGAAAGATTTCTGGAGACGGAGCGTGCACAGGCGACACCTCGGTGCTGATAGCAGTAACTCGCATCACTACACGCACAGAGGGAGCGGTCCTCACTTTGTTTTTACTCTATTTTAAAGCTTTTGAACTTTACTACTTTAAAAGTTAAAAACAAATTTAAAGCAACTGTGAATCTTGATCTCATATGGAACAGAGACTGGACTAAAGTAAAAGAAAGAATAAAAACAAGTGTCTCACCAATCAAATGTGGCCTTGTGCCTAAAACAAGCCCCTTAAAGAATGAAAGATCTCACCATATGTGACGCAGCAGAGCAGAAGAGGCTGGATATTCATTGTTCTGGAGAAAAGTCATCAAACTGACACAGAGCGCTCTGAGCTGTCTTGTCACTTCGCTTGCTTTGCCGTTTTTGATCAGTCAGGAAGTTCTGATTTTGAAAGCTGATACGTCCTTCCTTTTTTCTCCCTTCTTCTGTGTAACTGTCCTTACAAGATAAATGACGCAACCAATCTGAAACTTTTGAGATAAATGTTTCTTTATCATTTTATTAATAGTTTCTCTTCCTGTATGTCGTGAACATAGATGAGGATGTGGTTTTGTATTTGTCTTTCAGTTCTCTGTCTTGACCATTATCTAGAGCCGCTGCATCCACTATAAATGTTCAGCTCTGAATGAGACGTTCACCGAACCTTCCGTTTATGTTTCCATTTGTTTCTCCAGGAAACGAATAAGAAATCAGACTTTACATCGACTTTTAAATTAAGTGACGTGTGAATATTTGCAGTAATACTTTAATACGTAAAGCTGGTTCAGTGACCCAAACTTACATCACACTGTAGGAACAATGGTGGCGTGTTTGTGCTGACAGGAAATGGTTGTTTTTTGGACAGTATGAAGATTTAATCATCTACCACGCACACACACACACACACACACACACACACACACAAATGTATCTATCACACATTTACAGTTTTTTACAGACGCTAGGACACATGTCTCAATACTCAGGTCACGTCTGCAAAACTCCTCACACAGTGAGCACAACAGAAGTCTATGTGGGCTAAACTGAGGACCAGTTATCATTGTTTTGGCACAAAATGCATTCAATGACTACATCTAGTAATTTCTACCAACATTACTTGTCATGTTCTCATGTTATTGCTAAGGATTGTCTTATTGCATTGGAGTCACACTGGGTTAAATATGTACACTTGGGTTTTAAGGGGTATTTATTATTTTCTTCTTTTTTGGGTTGTATGGAAGCCCCAAACGCAATTTCATTGTTCTTGACAATGACAATAAATAAATACTACAGTACTACAGTAATCTCTCAAATTTCATGAATTATCTTCTCACTCAGACACAACAACTGCCAACAATCTTTGTATGTACAGGACATTTTGCATGTGCTTACATACTGTTTTCAAAACTGTTAAACTTGTGGCCAAAACAATAACACAATGCAAAACTTAAAAAGAGCAAAATGCAACAGCAATATTTTATTGAAACATATTTCAAATCTAAAAATGCAGTTTAACCAGCCACAGCTGATTCTCATTGTAGATGAACATCTACACAGGTGTTACTCCTTCAATTGTTCAACTCCTTCAATTCTGGCAGCCAGAAGATTCTTTCCTAGGTGTGTTGCCCTGGATGACATAAGATGTGATGTGGATGAGAACCTGTGGCCAAATGGAGGAGACCGAGTAGATTAGCATTACTATTGTATGTGTATCAGTGGATGGTGTGTATACAGATTCTTGTATTTTGGGATTACTTAGTGCAAAAACATAAAAATACATAAACAAATATTAACGAATTCTGCATGATGTCTGATTCATTCCAGTAACATATATTGAAATTATAAACAGAGATGTGTCCTTGTTTTACACAAGAAAACACTGTAATGCTACATGTTGTTAGTGTTTTTAGGTCATTGTTTTGTGGGTGACAAAGTGTGTTTGTCGGCTGTCAACCTTTGCTAGTGTTCTGGAAGAATGAGTTTATTTGAGACCTGAATGAAGTGTTTTGGTAGTTGTAGTGCATTTTGAATGTGAAATGAACTGCTTTGCCAAGCTGACGGTCAGTTAGGAGGATTGTGTGAAGAGTTTTGCAAAAGTGACCTAAGTATTGAGAAATGTGTCCTAGCGTCTGTAAAAAACTGTAAAAGCAACACAGTTCTTTACAAGTTAGTCAGTGAAGAAGAGAAAAACCACTGAAACATAAATACAGTAAAATAAGACATAAGAAGTAAATATGGTAACAATCTAACGATAAATTTAGTGGTAACAAAAAAAAAAATAAAACGAAAAGGAAAAATAAAACATGGCCCTATTACAGCCCCCCCCTGCCCCCCCCTTTTTTTTTCTTTACAAATTGGTGCAGCAACCTTTTTAAGAATGCAAAAATATAAAGCTGAATATCAGCGTTTGGCAGGGATAGCTCAGTAGGTAGAGTGGCGGCCCCATGATCGGAAGGTCGGGGGTTCGACTCCACTGAACGGCTACCCTGAGGTACCCCTGAGCAAGGTACCGTCCCTACACACTGCTCCCCGGGCGCTGCATTGGTGGCTGCCCACTGCTTCACTGGGTGAATGGGTTAAATGCAGAGGAACTATTTCCCTATGGGGACTAACACGCACACTTTACTTTACCAGCTTTATTTTACAGTCCCAACTCTTCTGCTTCTTTGTCACTCACTATGTGTTAATAGACCTCTCTGCATTTAATCATTAGTTATTGTTCATCTCTGGCTCTCTTCCACAGCATGTCTTTGTCCTGTCTTGCTGCCCTCATCCCTGACCTGTCGCAGCAGATGAGCCTGGTTCTGCTGCAGGTTTCTTCCTGTTAAAAGGGTGCTTTTCCTTCAAGTTGTTGCCAAGTGGTCAAGTGGTCATCTGATTGTTGGGATTTTCTGTTTTCTCTGTAATATTGTAGGAATTGCAGTATTATTGTGATTCGATGCTATATAAATACAACTGAATTGTATTGAATTAAATGGAGGCCTTACTACTGACTGCCCGAACAGCAACACTTGTGTTTCCTTGTGTTGCAGCGCCATCTTGTGGCTGATTTAAGAATTGTTCATACTAAAGTTTTTGCATTATTTTGTTGCACAATTAGACTGATGCAGCTCTTTAATAGGACTGAAATAATGGTGTTTGAGGCCAGTTATGTTGATTTTATTTATCTTGTAATGTTTTTGTTCCACTAACATAAACTCAAAGTGACATGTTTTAAAGATGGCAGTAGACTCTCACAACCATCTTTAAGGTGTCCCCTGTCCTCCTGTCTGAAATGAAAAATTTGGATTCATCACTTCTAAAACCTGCTCCATCTGATTTTCAAGCCAGTTCATGTGTAATTTGGCATATCTCAGCCTTTTCTCCCACTTTTCCATCCTTAAGAAAGGCTTCTTGATAGTCACGCTTCTACTGAGACCATTTCTGATGAGGCCTGATGATGATGAGCAGTCGATGGATGAGCTGAAGGTCCAGTTCAGTTCCACCAAGACGCTCCATCTGAGCCTAACCACCAAACACCTCTATCTAAATTCTGTTCATCCATAAATCATATTCCTTCTTTCTAATGGTCTCTCCTTATTGAACTAAGACTACTGAAGAAGGGATTGTTCAGCTCAAGAGTTTCACTTCTTTCTTTTTAAAAAAGAAGTTTTAAAGAAATGAGTCAAGTCAAAG